ACCTAATTATACCACATTGCTTTCTTGTCCACAAGAAGGAAACTATAATGCAATTATTGGGACACTTCATTTTCTATTCTGCTGTGGCAAATGAGAGAGCCACTGTGATGGACGCTTCTTGTCAAAAAGCTTATTGATGAAGCACAAACCCAATTTACCATCATACGAAGGAAGGACCACCTTGCAATTATGTCGGTAATGTAAAGCTCCTTGGATGCCAGCTTACACTCAAGCGTTTCAGGAGGAAGTCAGCCCTTACAAGATGTCTGAACGCTGACTGAAGCCCGAGTGCTGTTCCCCTGCTTTCCACAACCAAAGCTGTTCATGCCAACTAACACCCAGTGCTGAAAGCTCGGCTGCCCCTGAGGACACAAGGCATCAGCAGCGAACACCTGATCCGCTCCGACACATATGCTCAGAACACATATACTTGCAGGAGAACTCAGAGCCATTACTCATGTGACTAAAATAGAGATTATGAGACAGAACTAGCAATTTACATCCTGGAACATAACACCAAGAGTGCACTGTCTCAGCAGGACGCAAAAGGGGTTGAGGGCAAGATGGGCACTGTTAGACTTACCCAGATTTCTACTGGTGCTTACCTACTGCCCCTAGAGCTGTCCAGCAGTTGCCTCCGAGCTGGAGAGGCTGACGAGTCTCACTCAGTAGAGCTAAGACGTGTCTGAGATTACAATGAGAGGGCTGGCCACCTCTCACTCTCATGCCTTTTCATCTGACTGTGAAACACGCATTTTTTTTTTTTTTTTTTTTTTTTTTTTTTTAGTAAGACCGAGATGGGAGAAGTGAAATGCCTCTAAGCCGCTGACAATAATGATTGTATCATTTGTCCTTTGTTACCCATCAGTCTATGACTTAGTCAGAGTGGCCTTTATGATAGGCTATGACAGATCTACTACCTTCAAGAGTCCCTGGGATACCCAAGAATCGGGGATCCAGAGCGCCTGGGTCTACCCTGAGAACAGGTGATGAGCAAGGGTCTCCTGGGACACAGATTTAGGGAGAGATTGCAGCTGGAGATGTAGCCCAAACAATTACAACATTTCTAAACAAATGGCCAAACAATGGAAACACTCAGCCAAGGATGGCATTTTCCTCAGCAGCTCCTAGAACAAAGGCTTCTTCACAATGGCAGTGGTGGGTGGGCATGGGGGCTCACATCTGTAAGCCCGCATTTGGGAGGAGGAGGTGGAAGGGCTGCCGTGAGTTCAAAGCCACAGTGAGTCCCAGGTCAGCCCAGGAAGCAGAGGGGGAGACGTCTGGACAGACAAGCACGTGACTGCATCTGGTTTGCTCCCAGTGCACTCCACAGCTCTGCTGATGCCTCACTCTCGGGCCATGTGAGAAACAGACTGTTGGGTCTGTTTGCAGTGAGCTCACTTTGTAGACACTGCACCCCCTCCTCTGGCGAGAGCCTGCTTCTCTCAGGACTCCTGAGAGCAGGGAGAAGTTCTACTTGCTTGAGCCTAGGATTGGAAACGAGGCAGGAGGAGCCTCAGGCCCCAGACTGTTCACTGAATGAGGCTCTGTCCCCTAGACCAGTGCCCTGAGAGTCTGAGGGGTGACAGTGGTACACTTAAACAGTCTGCCCACACATCAATGCTCCAGCTACCGTTTGCTTTTTGTCTACGTGACTATTTTTCTGCACAGCGAGTCTTGTCCTCTAGTCTTCTGGATTTGCTGTTATCCAATCCCAAACACAAAGACTGCTTGCATGGGGCATGGGAAAAGCACTGTTTAGCTTTACAAGCGGCAACAAGTGAGGCAGCTTTGGGTTTTAGGATCTTACCTTGATGAATTTCACAAGAGAAAACGGGCAGCTGTAATTAAGAATCTCATCCTTGTTTTTTAAAATAGGGAACCAGCATTTTAGGGAGGACTGATGTCACAGAACATTTACATATTAACTGCAGGCAGCCAACGATGACATTCAAAGCGCTGCTTTTGGGAGCGATGAGGTCAACCCAGGCCAGCACCCTGCTAATCAACACTACTGCTGGCTCCGATGCCCAAAGCACCTACAGAGGCCCTGCGGCCTGCACTACTGACCGGTCCTTCTCTCCAACTCCCTCTGGTGTCCACTGAGGGTCTGGCGCCACTGTGTGGAGTAGAGCAAACTTTGAAAGACAGGCAGCGCTTGCATGAAGTGGAGGACATGGTGCCTCTCCCTGGGGAACAGCAATCAAATGAGAAGCTTCCCTTCAGGCCAAGGTCAGAGGGCAAGGCAGACAGGCAAGAGCAGGCAGGCCAACCCCACTGCAGGCAGGCCCAGCACGAAAGCCACGAAGGCCAGAGTAGGAGAGCTCTCTCTGCCCTACGCCAAGCTCGGGCATACTCTGCCTAAGTGTAAAACTCCGAAATGAGGAAGGTCAAACGCTACAGGAAATACATTCTCCAACTTACACCGATGATTTTAACTTTATGTCGTTGAACATTATTCTGTAACATTTTCTGGTTTTGTTATTTGTAAACACAATAGATTTTTCTGTATCGGATTTGCTAAAATGACCTAGCAATGCTAATATTAATCTATAAGTTTATTAGATTTTCTATGGATGTTATTTGCTAGTAAGTACTTTGCTGTCCGCCTCCTCCCCTCCACCAGACCCCTAGTTTTTGGTAGTGCCAGGGACTAAACCTAGAGTGCTCCGCATGCAATCGCTCCAGACATGTTTCTCTTTTTCTCCTCCTAAGGCAGGATCTTACTAAGACACTCAGGTTGGCTGTGCACTTAGTCTGTAGTCCTGGAAGACCCTGGATTTGCATTTCCTCCTGTCTCCACACCCACCCTTCTACCAAGCAGGTAGGATTACATTCTTTTCTTAACCTTTGACCCTTCCCTTGCTTTTCCACAGGAGCTAGTAACTCAAGAATGATACTGACTGCATGATCTTTTTGTTACTCCTAGTCTTGAGGCAAAGCTTTAAATATTCCACTGGTGTTTAATGCTTACTACATATGATAAGATTATATGTTGGGAGTACCGTTTTCTAGAATAAAAACAGTTCATCTTCAGCTCTAGTTTGTTAATGAACAACGTATGTATAGGTTCTGAATAGAATTCCATCAAATGCTTTACTGAGTTGTTGGGGTCCCTGGGCTTTTGCTTCTTATGGTAATTTATAAAGATAGAATTCTGAATTTAAACAAGCCTTACAGCTGGAGCACATCTATCTAGAGCTATACCTATTTTGTTGATTACAGGGCTTCAAACAGCAGAGTTAAGGCTATTTCAATGCATTCAAGTTTTATTATGAGCTTTCCTTCTTAAATCATAGATAGGCCATGACTTCTAACAAACGTCTCAAACCTGCTGTGCTTTCTCTATTATTGCACGCTTCATTGTGGCTTTCTCTGTAACGTGTGCAACTATGCAACTGAATATTTTCCTGAAAGTTCTCCCAGGCTTTCTGTGTTCTCTTGCTCATCACTGCTTTGATATGAGTCTGGAGCTGCTGGCTTTAGTGACTCTATCAGCAGCACTAGGCAGCTCATAGCAGTGGGGGAATTTTACCCTGCTGCCCCATCTGTTACTCGGACGGACCAGTCCCTGAACAGAGGCTGCCTGTGAACCCTGAACAGCAGTGCACACATGTCCAGTGGCTTATCCTTGTAGCCACCTGCCCGAGCAACAGGCTATGCGGTACCGCCACCTCTCCAGGGCTCCGGTGTGCACACTTCTACCCTTCGTGTGCTCGTCCTAGGAGCCATCTTGAGCTTCAGGGTGCTTGGCAGTGACTTCCTCCTTGCTTCAGGTCTTTCCAGTTTCTGGAATGTTCTACACTTTTTCTAGCACTGCCATAGACTGGAGTCCTCTGTAAACTCCTAACCCATTTCCTCAGTGAGTGAGTCACTTGCATTTACCAACACCACCCTTCCTTGGCTTTCTCCACCTGCTACTGTACTGAAATCCACATAATATTCCCAAACTGGACCCTAAGCTACACTAAGTTCCCCATGGGAGCTGACATCTGTAGAATACTGATTCATATTTATCAGATGTTTAGTTATATTTCTCAGCAATGACATTTTTCACACACTCCCTTCCAGTCCTGAGGCTCATATCCACATTTGATAAATGTGAGCCACCATGAATGGGAGCTTTATTTTCCACTTACACCTAGAGGGGCTGTTCTGAATATTTCAATCTGCAATCTTCCATTTTGCTGATTTAACATTTTAACTAGGTATCAGTTGACCGCCTTGGTTGCCATATCTGTAAATGCATGCTCCTTCCTGGTTAACATACCTACTTCTGTCTCTTGTCTTTCTCAGTGGAGATGGTTCTGTAACAGTGTTAAATGATGCTGTGCGTGTATCCCTGTTCTTTGTCGTTCAACTAAGCACTAAGCAAAGGTGATGCTGAAGAGTGTCTGGGACATATTTTACTTAATTATGCTACATATGCTGTTTTTACTTTTAGTTCACTAACACAAGAAATTTAAATCATTATCCTTTATTAGTACATTACAGATTGATCAAGAATTCTTTAATAGGAAAAAAAAAAACACAAAATAAGGGCAAAATAAAACGGAGCTGCAGAATAGGACGAGTAGGTGTAGCATTCTGTACAGGAGGGCACTATTGTTAAAACCCTGAACTTACACAGCTTCTAACAACTGCAGGCTCATCTTAGAATAAACAGACACATTCTGCTTTTAAGCCACTAGACAGCCATGTAATAGCAGTGAAGAAAAATATGTGAGATTCTACAAAATTCAAAATGCAAAAATAAGTCACACACAGCCGTGGCAAAGTTACATTTCACTACCTGTGAAGTCAGTGAAGGTATGTGTGAGAGAACGGAGAGTCAAGCATACACACAGTAATCGAAGGTGGAGTCTAGAGACCGATACATTCAGTATTCAGTTAGGACGCACACAGTGTGTAACCAGCATGGCTCCGATGCTAGGTGAGTCAGGATGGGACCAGGGACCTGGAAGGTCCTAGCCTGAAAGACAAAGAGAGACCAACAGTACCTGTTTTGTCTGTCAGCAAGTACACCAGGCGTCCGAGCTCCTCTGGTATTGTGCTGGTGCGAACAACTGTACCAGGAATGTTCTCATCTTTCATGATCATCCATCCATACGCTGCTTTGCCCATGTCCAAGTTGACCCGCAGACTGCCAAGTGAAATCACCATGATGGTCAGGGCTCCCGGAGCCATACAGCACGTCCACACCCGATGTATTTACACACACACTTTAAGTTATGCAGAAATGAACAGCATTGGATCTCAGGCTTTAAAATAAACGACTTGTGCATATTTAAGTAAACAAACGCTTATATACCCTGATAACGTTTCAGGTGATAAAGTTGGGGGACTCCAGTATGAGTGAGGGAAGCAGGCAAATGGTTCTAAGTGTCCCATTAACACACAGAGCACTGCGGCAGGAAAGAGGGAAATGCATATGTTCAGGGAGATCAAGCAAGGGTTAGTTGTCAGAAAATATGTGAACTAGGTCTTGAGGCATCTGGAATAGGCAATTTGCTTCTTAGTGATTTTTAAAATAGTACATACTTTGTAATATTACACATTTCAAGTCTCTATGTAATAGGCCATAATAGATGGCCTCTGGAAGGTCTTCCGGGCTTTATTAAAGAGTGGCTACATAAGAACACATCCTAAAACTGCCCAGTGGAGGAAATAGTCTCAGCACACCTATTATGTGCCAACTCAAACATGTTCATCTCTCCCTAATTAAACTATGGAAACTCAGTAAACAAGACTGTGTAAACCATAGGGATGAAACTGCTATTCATCAACCATTTATGACCTATCAGCATGGTAATTCACATGGCTCAACCTATTAATAAATAAGTTTTTGAAAAAACAATATTCAGGAATCAGTCAGTAGTAAATGCATAAGTTAAGAAGCATACAATTAGCATAACTTCATTAACCTATCTGTAGGGTTCACACCTTAAAAATCATAGGAATGATATTAATTGGAAAGAAACTGTTAGTTGGCATTACTTGTGCATCTCTTGCCAGCCAGCACCCTCCCAGTTTTTGGCTACATATATCCTTGTTAAAAGAGAGAAGCAACAGTCCTTAGGCAGGAAGGATAGTGATTGGCATTGCGGGCAGGCACAGGGGCCCAATGCAGGTCTAACATTGTGTGGGTGTGCAGCCCAGGATCCGTGAGAAGCTGCTAAATTACTTAATGTTAAGTCTCAAGGAGTGTGGGGGTCACTGTGTCAATGGTGAGAAATCCTTCGAGGTAGGTTTAGGATGAAGGCAGTATTTGAAGAAGAATGCAAAAAAACATTTCCCCTTAGATTCTGGTTGATTTGGGCCCATTTTTCATGAATAAGAGAGATAAAGTAAAGACAACGGGCGGTGCTGAAATGAGCATGGGCACAAGGGCCAGCAGGGGAAGACACACCTGAGACACAGCAGGGACATCGGACAGCTGTCTATAATTTCCCACTTGGCTCAGAGACCTGCACACTGGAAAAGCAGGGTCATGTTTTGGAAAATGTCACCCTGCACTAGCTGTCATTTCTGTCCTCAGCCTAGAGTCTGTCACCAGGCTCAGGGTGTCAAGAACCAAAGCAGTTCCAAGTTCTGTGTGCTGTTGTTTTCAACCATGAGTAATCATGTTGTTGAGTTACAAGAGTGTTCATAGAGAATCATAATTACTCCTGGACCATTTTAGTTTGAATACAAACATCTCCCAAAGATCGCACCAAACAGTAGCTGCTAGTGGCAAAGAGGAGAATTACCTTTCAGAGTGTAAAAGGAGCATAGAACACAAAATCGACCCCCAAAGAGACTCAGTAAAATGTCTCAAACAGGTCAACACTCCCACACAAGGAATTTCAGTCCCACGTGTGTACCATGATGCATGCTGGGAATTTGGTCAAATGCTGACTCGAGGATTGCTCTAAGGCACTCACACACCAAGGTAGCTGAGTATCGCTGACACTACCCTGACTTTACTTAGTAATGCCCTGACTATATAGACCTTTATCCAAGGAGGTGACAACTCTGTCATGCTCCATAATCTATGGACCATATGCTTACGGAAACATGTTAGATGGCAGAAGATACCAGATGCATTGCAAATCCATTCTACTGATGACTTAGGAGCTGTGACCCTGATAGCCACAGACCTATTCCAGGTAGAATGTAGCAATCTGTGTTCAAATGGCTCACCGAGCCAGGACACAATCAACACTTTTCCTATCATACAGAATGAAAGTGCCTCCGATAAGTAGTCCTTCGGGGACGTTGCCAATGGAACACATATGAAAACATTCATTTTTTGCAATCATAGGGAATTGGAGGTGGATTTCAAGATGCCTTCATGACAGCTTATTTTTGTTCAAACAGTCTAATCCCATAGCTACAAATACCTGAAGAAGAAACTCAGAGTCTAAATAAATTTCAAGTGCATTTTCCCCAAAATACACAATACAATTCCATTTAGGCCCCAGGATGCTTGCTATATTTAAGCTCTAATTTGTTACAATTAAACCCCAGCACTTATCACTGCCAGGTGAGCCCACTCCCCAGCCTGCCTGAGAAACACACACAATTCTCCCTGGAGAACGAATCTACCTGAAATAATTCACGTGCCGATTCTAATCTGAGCAAAAGAAAAGAGAAGCCATTTCATCAGAACTTTTACCAAACGTAATCAAAACCATTTCCTAGGAGCCAAGGCTGAAGGACACTGATGGTCATCTGAAATCTTCCTGCATTTTTCATTCTGAGGGTAAAGTGCAGGCAGCAGAAGACAGAACCAACCCCGTGCAACATAGCACAGCTAACCCTGTCGTCTCAGGGACAGCAGAGTCCCGCCTGGACTCTGGGTCAGCACTGCTGCCTGAGCGACCTCTAACCTTAGATGAATCGACACAGCTGTGAGTGAACAGGAAAGAGTCAGCATGGCTACTTCCTCACCTTCCTGCTCAAAGAGCCCCACCACAGAGCTATGTCACAGTCACTGGCTCCCTCCCAGTTTTAGTAAGGGTCTCTCTAAATGGCCTGGCTACATTAGAATTTGCATTATAGCTTAGGTGGGTCTTGAACTCTTTGTCCTCCTGCCTCAGCCTCCTGAGTAGCTAAATTGTTAGAATTACAGCCCTACACCACCAATCCCAGCTAAATGTGTAGTCCACATCTTGAACTTGAAATCCTGCATCAATGTTCCCAGCAACCTTCCTACCAGAAAACGCCAGCACAGGTTAATCTTTCCACTTAGTGTATATTCTAATTAGCATGGACTTCTGCCAACTGTCTTCCGACTATCATGTTTGATGCAAGTTATAACTTGTATCAGTTTCTAATTTTAACATCTATCAGTTCTGTGATCTCTTACTAAAGGCAGACTTGATTCTAGTGGTCAACCAACGTTTCAAAAGAAAGTAGACTTGGGGTCAAATAGGACGGCTCCGTGAGTAAAAGTCTTTGTAGTGCAACCCTGACAACTGAATTAGCCTATAGAACTACAGTAACAAAAACAGCTTAGTAATGGCATAAAAACAGACAAGTGAACAAATACAATCAAATTGGAGACCCTGACATTAATCCACACACCTACGAACACCTAATTTTTGACAAAGAAGCTAAAATAATACAGTGGGAAAAAAAAGAAAGCATCTACAAAAAAATGGTGCTGGCACAACTGGATGCTGACGTGTAGAAGACTGCAAACAGATCCTTATCTATCACCATGCACAAAACTCAAATCCAAGTGGATCAAAGACCACAACATAAATCAAGCTACATTGAACCTGATAGAATGGAAAGTGGGAGGTACCCTTGAACAAAATGGTATAGGAAACTGCTTCATGAACATAACACCAGTAGCACAGACACTGAGAGCAGCAATTAATAAGTGGGACCTCCTGAAACTGAGAAGCTTCTTCAAGGCAACGGACATGGCAAAAAAGACAAAGCACGGCCTACAGAATGGGAAAAGATCTTTACCAACCCCACATCTGACAGAGGGCTGATATTCCAAAATATATAAAGAACTCAAGAAACTAGGCCTCAAAATACCAAATAATCCAATTAAAAAATGGGTTCACATCTAAACAGAGAACTCTCAACAGAAGACACTCAAATGACCGGAAGACATCCAAGGAACTGCTAAACATCCTGAGCCATCAGGGAAATGCAAATCCAGACGTCTGAGAGGCCTACCATCTTCCACCTGTGAGAGTGGCTAAGATCAAAGACTCTGACGAAGGGTTATGTTGGAGAGGACGTTGAGGAGGAGGAACACTCCTCCACGGCCGCTCTCGGCATTTATGCCCAGAAGCCTCCCACAGGTGCTGACCTCAGCAATGGAAGAGAAACTCCGTCTCCCGCCAACAGCGAGCAGCCCCTGCTGTTCAGTGCTCCAAGAAAGACACCCACCGCCTGCACAAGAGGTCCTAAGCGCCTCAGAAGGGATGTAATTATCTTTGTCTACAGCAGTTTCGCCTCTTGCTCATGGATGCCTTATGCAGAAGCCAAAGTCTCTTTGACTCAGCACTGAGCAGTCAGTCAGGTTTTGGATTATCAATTAGAACATGGGGCATTTAAAACCATCTGGAGAGAACACACTCCTAAGGAACAGAGAAAACATGACCCATGGTGTCTCTCAGTCCTACATGCGCTGCCATGCTGAGCAGTTCTGCCAGTTTCTTCATGTTAGGAGAGAGACACAGATTGAAGGCACACATGTCCACTTTAGAATCAAAAAAAAAAAAAAAAAAAAAAAAAAAAGCTCTATCATGTAATATTTATCTTAGAATAACAGAAATGCTTTAGTTAACTATTATCTCAAAACCCACAAAACAAACAAAAAAGGATAATGTAAACTTTATCAAGTAGCTTAAAAATTGTTTTAAAATTATTTTAATAAATTTATTTTTTAATAATTTTTAAAATCCTTAACTTACAAAGTTTTTTTATTCTTAGGACACAAGAAAAAAGCACTTTACTTCCTAGATTTGCATATTTTGCAAAATAACATATTTATAGACTCTAAAATGAATGGTTATCCTAATTTTGGGGAAACTCGGCAATACGAAAACAAACTCATTTTCAAGGAAGATAAACTCCAAGTCTCTAAGGAAGCCGCCTGCGCTCTTCACACTCTAGCTCTCATTCCTTCCGCTAAGTTGGTACACAACTGCAGGTCCAGGTGTGCAGAACAAAGCAGTGTGTTGTGCTGCAGTGGGCATACGTGTGGTAAGCTGAGGAGAGGTAAGGCTGCGATACTGTGTAGTCAGGCTCTGCACACCTGCTCGGCACGCTAAACACGCTCACTGAAACACCGGGGCATGAAAGAGTGTAGACAGTCTGGTGCGATCATGCTGCAAACGGGCATTAAAAGACCAGAGGAAGAAAAACCGGGGTGCATGCTGGCGCAAAGATGCCTGCACAAGGAAGCATGTGTGCACCTTCACATGAGATCTGACCCTGTGTGTGGAAGGTGAGGGGGGGGGGGCGTGTGTGCTTGTGGGGTAAGGGCCAGCACCGAGCGTCTCCCTCTATTACTCTCTTCTTCAGTTTTGGAGACGAACATGCAGTTTGTGGTTTTGGAAAGAGGGACTGACCAGCGAGCCCAAGGGACCTTCCTTCCTCCACTGCCCAATGTCAGTCCTCATGGGTGAGCAGCAAGCACCTAACCCTCTGGGCCATTTTCCCAGTTTTAACACATAAAAGGTTTCATATAGTTATATGGAGTAAGATTATATTTACTTTCTTAGCAGATATTTTCCATTTTCACTACAAATCCATGTAATTATTTATATATAAAAACAAGAGAAATCACTGTTAGTTCCAACAATCCTCCTAAGGCATAATTTTGTTAAAACAGCTACTTTCTCTACTAAATGAACAAAAGAAAAACCTTTATGTTGTTACTTCCTTCAAGACTGGGACAAAAGGAGACTGAGCTACAGTCCAGATCCCACCCGAGGCACTCTAGAGCTGAGAAGCAAAGCTCCTTTAGCCTTCCCTCCAGTCAGACACAAGTGTCTTGATGTGACATGACAGCACATTCCAGACAGGTTAAAAACAGTTAACCCAAAGGAAGAACGAAAGAAACGAAAATCCGGAGAATCGCCCCGGAAACATGGGGAAGCGCCACTCGGAACAGGCGAGAGAGAGCAGGTGCCTTGCACAAGTGAGCATGGCCAAGGCAGAGGCGGTGCAAACCGGCAGGCAGAGCCATCCTGGCTTTCTCTCCCTTTGTTTTGTCTTGCTTGGTGCTTGTCATCATCCAGGGCTCAGCTGGGTGGCCAGTAAGTGTCCTGGGTTGCTTTTTAATGCCGTGGTAAACACCATTACCAAAAGCAACGTGAACAAGAGAATGTTTATTTGGCTTACATGTCCACATCACAATCCATCAATGAGGGGAGTCGGGGCAGAAACTCAAGCAGGAACCTAGAGGTGATCACTGCAGAGTCCATGGACAAACACTGCTGACTGGCTCACCTTGTTTAATCATTCAAGCCAGGACCACCCTGAGTAGGCGGGCCTAGCCACAGCAGTGAGCCCTTACAGGTTAATCACGAATCAAGAAAAGGCCCACAGACTTGCCCAGAGGCCAATCTGATGAGGACATTTTCTCAGTTTTAGTTCCCTTTCCTAGAGACCCTAGTTTGCCTCACAATGATGTGGCCAGCACAGTGGGCTGTGAGGAAGAGGAAGGACAGGAAGGGGCAGAGCATCGGTTTGTTTGTCCTTTGTACTATCCAACTGAACCTCTGCATTGATTGCTGCCTATGTTACACCCACAGGTGCTCCATGCTGCTTTAATAATAAAAATATTTGCAAGTCTTTTTCCAACATAATCCCTATGGATTTCTGTAAATGTCACTGGCACAGCTCCAAGCCTACCCTTCTGTCTGTCCTGGATATGCAGGGTGACTCACTACTAGAACCTCCCACTTCAGGGATGCTGTGCAGAAGTTGACGCCCCGGAGGTTCCCTGCAAGCCCTGAGCATGAATAAGGACAGACAGGTGCATAGAACAGGAGGGCCGGCTAAATACAAGTAGAAGACTACTACGTGTGTGTTAGTGGGGCACCTTTAACCACGAGGCAAGGGTGCTGGAGTTCAAGTACTTTAGGGTCTTTGAATTGTTCTAAGGAGAAGCAAAGATAGAGCTTTTTATATGTTCAAGGTGACACTTCTAAGGAAGCTACACAAGAGGATACAAAGATGTACATGGATAGAAGGGGCTTTTTAAAAAATTCAAAAGGGCACAAAAAAAAAAAAATAGAGGTAGGACAAATAAAGTAAAAACAAATGTTAAATGCAGACAACTCATATAACTGCAATAAATGTAAAGATCATGAAGACCGAATACTACACACTGTATCTGGAAACTTTTCATTCACTACAAAGGGGGAAACAACAACAATTCTAAGCCTGTAAACTTTTAATAGCATAGCCTTAAAATACACAAATGAACTGTGGAAATCAATAAAACCACAATCATAGTAAAAGATTAAACACAGAGATTTCCTTTAACAGGAAGCATCCATCTATTGACATGTGTACAATTCCCTTCAGAGAATATAAATACTTCTAAGCACACTTGAAACATTTATAACTGACCACTTCATGCAAACAATAACAAAAGTAAGTGTGATGAAGATCTGGAGGTAAGGGCCAGAAGTCCTAAGTATTTTGCCCTTAAGCTCAGATAAAAAATGAATATATAGTCTAATATACCTTAAGCTTAAGTGGTTAAGTGTCTTACCACTTATTTCAAAGTGTCTACCAAGAAGTCTAAAAGTTGGCATCATGTTTTCCATAGAAAAAGTCTGCCACTCTATTCCCTTAAAGTGGGTCCAGTTTTAGCCTCTGACTGGGACCTGTGCAGCCTTGTCCAGGAGTAGCTCTTCCTTTCAGAACTGGGCACGACAGTGTAGCTGGCCCAAGCTGGAGTTCCTAAGTAGGGGACGCATCCTTCTTTTTCCCTGAGCAAGTGTGCTTCCCCTGTGGCTGATGCCCAGCTACAGTGGGTATGTGCAAGGGGAGATGAGTGAGTGCACACATGAGGATGGAGGGGGCAGAGTGGGGAGGAGGACACTAGGCAAGGTAGGGCAGTGGGCGGTCCAGGAGGAGGATGGTTCAGAGGCTGGGATCAATGCAAGCCACTGGTTGAAAGGGCGCTAACTAAGAAATATCTGAAGAATGTGCATATGTGAGTAAATTCTGTCATAACTGTTGAATAAAACAGACAGGTGACATCACATTTACACTCTGGTTACTTGCAGTACCTAGTGGGTCCTTGGGTTTCACTTATCCTATTCAATACGAGCATTCATGACTTCTATGATGATTTGACCATATGTAAGTTCCTGCACACTGTGTCACCTGGCTCTGACACTGGACACCAAGCCAGTTGTTCATAGCGTCTTTATCTCTTATAGAGCTTACTGGAAGAGAGGCATGTCAGCAAAAAAGACACACATCAGCACAGACCCATGCAGAACTGCTGTCACCCACAGGACAGCAAGCACTTGTGACTGCATGGTGGGACTTTTCTAAGGCCTGAGGGGTGTACTTAGGTAACATCTCAATGACAAGGGACTAACAGTGGATACCTGCATAGACAGCACAGCTAGGTGTGAGGAACTTAATATGTAAACAGTCTTAGGTTATTCTTGGAGAGGTGAAGGCAAGCCTGGTTTATGTAACAGCCAAGGCTTGGAGACAGATTTTGCTTGGCCACACTGATAATCTTGCTAGCATACTTATGCTCCCCGGGGCCAGAGTCACAGCTGTCAGGCTTTGAAACGGTCAGAAAGTGAGGGATGTCTGCATGAGCAGTGGATCAGGATCGCAAAGGCAGTAGCATGCAAGAGGCTTACTGACTGTGGCACTGCCTGCCACCTTAACTGACATTACAAATGATGGTTGGCCGAGAGTCACAACTCACAAGGGTTATTTATTCACGTAAAATTCTCAGTCTTTTATATGAGTAAACACACACACACACACACACACACACACACACACACAAAGGGTTTCTTTTTAAAGATCCCATTTTTTTGACTATTCATATTACAAATGAGTCTTTCAATAGGTACTGAATAGTAACTGTTTACATACCAATCTCATTACACTGCTTATCATTTTGAGAAAGAGTTTTTTCAGAGAGTGCCTTAGTCAGCACTTTATCTAACCCTCCTTCAAACAGCAGGGACCTGTTGGCTTGGTTTTTGAGATAGCATCTTGCTATGGAGCCAGACCTTGGCACTCTGACTCCGGCTAAGGATTACCAGTGCACATCACTAGGCCTGGCTTTTAAATATAGGTCACTTTAAATGTCAACAACACACAGACCCTAGAGCACTGGGCATGAAAGAGCAACCAGCAGTTTGTAAAAATTTTCTCCTTAGATTCATACTTTTGTCAACTTGGAGACAGCATTACTAAAAGCAGGAAAAGCGGTCTCGGGCAAAGCTAGTCATGTCCCAGTCTGCGCTTGTAAGACGACCCGCTAAATCCCCCGGGTTCCTGGCCCCTTTCTCTACAGCTTTGATTGGATAACTTCTTTCAGCAAAATCATACAGTATGAAGTGAGACATAGTCTTCTTTTACTTTAAACCTACCTTATGGGAATGATGTAGGAAAACAGAAGGAGGAACCGAAAAAGGTTTCGGTACCATGGACCTGCAAATCCCTGCAAGGTTACCATAACAACAGAAAGAACAACTAAAGCCAGAAATAGGGCCTTTGTCAGCTGATTGAGTTCAAGGTCCAGCAAACCAACCTGGGGGAAGAAACACAACATAGCATTAATACATGGCTCAAGCTGCCCCGTCCCTAGTAGCCTGATCAGAATACATGAAACGATGACTTGAGAAAATGAGAGGTTTCAATTGTCTTTATAATAATGCAAAACAAAACATAGCTTTAGGCAGGATTTTTGAAAATGTACTGTGGCCTGTAGCTCACTCAGGGACTATCTGCTGGTAGAATAGTAGACCAGAGCAGAAAACTGAACAAGCAGAGTCAGATCCGCTGCGTGGATGACAGAATGATGTCACCAATGATGACAAGATCAAGAGTTACAAAAGCAGGGCTTGCCTAGCCTTCTCCATGGCCCCGCGCTACACCAAAACTCCTCTGTGAGCAAAAATGCTCCATCCTCTGTGACATGCCAGGTCAGACAGGCACCCCTCCACTCAGTTCCAGAGTCCCCAAGTACAGGATATTGAGTGTCCACCTTTCTCAAAGTCTCTGGGAGAACTTACAAAGAAGGCCAGGCATGGAGGGCACTTTAGGATTAGAACCTACTAGATTTAAGCAAGTCCTGCACTTCCGATTCCTCCAGTGTAACATACCACACTGAAATTCACCCTGTGGACAGCTGAGCACATAAACGAAGGAAAATTACACCCAAGAAAGCAGTTCATTTTTTCTTGATTTTGGAAACAGGGAGCACTCACACACAAACAGTTGTGGCCCTAATAGGAAAGCAAACGCAAACCTATCTCTTCTGAAATGTGCAACACCGATTTCGAGCTCTGACAAATTCTGTGGATTTCTTCTCCCTACTTCACCCACAAAGACTAAGTGTAGCAGAGGCGGGCAGAGGAGATGTGCTCCCTGAGCTGCTGGTTAATACAGAGAAGCTGTGGGAGGGAAGGAGAGAGGGGAGGGAGGGAGAGAGGGGAGGGAGGGAGAGAGGGGAAGGAGGGAGGGGAGGGAGGGAAGGAGGCAGGGAGGAGGTACTGGGACCTGTCACCGGGACAGGACTCTATCTCCTGAGTGTATAACCCTGGCCGGTGGGCCTCCATTTTGTTACTGCAGAATGAGGAGCCATCAGAAGCTCCCTGACAGGCTCAGGAAGAGCGTGACAGTGTGTGACAGTGTGTGCCGTGCCCTACAGTGCAAGCCCACAAGCCCAGCAGCCATGGCATCTCCACCACTCTGTGTTTACCTTTCGGGCACTTACTCTTCAGATAACCTGTATGTCTTCGGGTTAAAAAACATTCCTTTTTATTTACTGTTTGACAGGATCTCGCTCTGTAGCCCTGCCTGACCCGGAACTCCCTACACAGACCAAGCTGGCCTCCAACCTACCTTGATCTTGCTTCTACCTCCCCAGTATTGAACAATAGGCACAAGCCATTGCATGTGGCCCAGCACCAAACTCTTCAATGACATGGAACCATCCAGAGTAAAGGTAGCTAGAGGGGTTAGGTTACTGGCGGACACATGTAATGCTGGGCGAGGTCACAGCCTCTGCCTAATGTGGCCTGGTCACAGTGTGTAGGACTGAACTGGCTGTCTCTGACTCAGGCAGTGTCAACAGCAGACAAGCGCTACCAGGCTAAGCAGCTCTCCGTCCCCTCAACACCCCTTTTTAAAAAAGGGAAGAAAATGGGGGCAGGGCAGGGTGGCTGTGACAGGGAGAGAAGAAAGGAGAGGAAAGAAATATAAAGAGAAAAAGGGAGAGGGAAAGAGAGAATGTGATTGCCAAGATCTTAATTAGAAAAAAACATCAAAATAAAACTCTAGCTCTTAAAAGTTTGAGAATTAACTAAGCTAATATAGTTTATTTTATAGTGCCAGTTCATGACTCACTTTAAACCTAGTTTTGATTAATATTTGCCACAAACTCTTATGAGGCCACGAGAAGCCATTGCTAGAAACAAAGCACCAAGTTTCTCAAAAGTTCATTAAGTGCAATTGTAAAGAAAACTAATTAAGCAAGTAATTACATGCCTCTTACACCTTGTGCTAGACTCTAAAGTTATGAAAATGAGTTAATTATGAGAATTCCTTTTTACCTGCAAGAAAGTCTACTAAGAAAACCAAAATGAACGCTAGTACTACATGCCTTATGAAAGAGGGATGTGCGGGCGCAGTGCCCGTCTCTGTCCAGGGTTATGTTGAACTACATTGGCAAACACTACAGAAACAAAGGGGCATTGCCAGGGCCCAGAGAACAACCTGCAGCACACAGGTGCCCCAGGGCTGCAGGGCTGCAGGGCTGCAGGCGGCTCCTCCCTGCCCTTGTGGACATGCCCCACACATCTGCAGGGCATGCCCCACCAGATCACAGGAGGCTCCTCATCAAGGGACTTCAAACAAAAGCCACGTGGTGGATTCATCTGCACACAGCACTTCATTCAACAGAGATTCCCTGGGCTGAAGACTGCCGGCTTTAACCACATGGGCTCTGGTTCTCAGCAGCAGCGATGGACTGCCTTAGAGCCCAGGAAGTCATGTGGGAACCCCCACGCCCATCTTCAGGTCTTGCCCAGCAACAGAGAGGTGACCACTTCCCTGGAGACGAGCACTTTGAAAGGAAAGGCATGCAGGAGCCCTGACAAGTCCCCAGCGCTGCCTCCCCCTGAGAACAGGCAGCTCAGACTGCAGCAGCTGATTTATCAGCTCCGTTTGAAAAGCAGCACAAGCAGGACAAATACCAGGCGATTTCCGCTACTTCACGACTACGTAGTTTATGCTTGAATTATTGAGAAAAATAGGGTTTTGGATTAAAATGAAGAAAAATTAAGCCAGGGAAGTAGAGCATGTTTCAAAGCCCAGATCTCTGTGCTGTGACAAAGGCGGTCTAAGTTTCAGGCCTCAGTGAGGATCAGATGAAGTCATTATTCATTCAGTCAGGGAAAAAAGACTCAATTACCTCAACCTAAAGATGCTATCAATGAATGCAAAGTGCATATTTTACTCTATTCATCCAAATCCCATTAAAAAGTGAAAGGAATGATTTAATCTGGCCTTCCAGAGTTGGCCTTTTTTTTGTAATAAAATAAAGAATTACTGTCTTGCGAAATGCATAACCACTACCTCTCACACTCTTCCCTGCATCATAGCAGTCAAAGACCAAAAGCTCACACAACCTCCGAGAAAGGAATACAAAGTTCCCTTTGAAAAAATGCCACATGGAGGATGGAAACACTAAAAGCAGCCCAAGCACAGGATATGCACATAACTCAAGGCATTAATACCTTTCTAATTGACCAAGACAGATGTAGTTGACGGCCAACCAGTGGATATCAATTTTGAAGCCAACCAAATGTTCCCTTCCAGAGAGAAGGTAAGGGTGACAGGCACGGAACAGACAGACAGATGCCACCCTCCTCCAGATAGCATGACAGTGGTCGTCCCTCATGGCCTGTCCGGGTGCCTTTCCTGCCTTTCCTGGACTGGAATGACAACCCTGAGTTTGGTTAATTCTAAGAAAGGGCAGTTTGTTTTAAAAAACAAAAACATTTTCAATTAATAATCTTTTTATATTCAATTTCTCTACAATACTTTTTTAAAAGTTTCTCCATCTCAAGGCTAAGATGAAATCAAAAAAGTACTTCAAAGGAAAACTAGTTGACTGTAAAGTTACAGATTCTATGAAGGGTAACCTTCTGCTCTGATGTGTGTCTCCCACATTATTAAAGAACGTCTTAGATACCCGAACAGGCCAGACCTTCTGCTAAAAGGCTGTAAAACCTTTTTTAGCCTTAAGATATATTATTAATCACTTGAAATAATTATGACTGTATGAGAAAAGGTAAATTAAATACTCTAGGAAGTAATTTTCAACATTTACTGTAAGTTCTTATATTAGTAAAGCAAATTTTCTTCTACTTGTCATAATATTTGTTTTATTTGAAACAACTGTGATAACAAAATTAAATACGCTACTGGAAATTTTAATCTCCAAGGGAAAATTTGTGCATAATGCCTAAGACAACCACAATGGCTCTGCAAAGGGGCTGTTCTAGGATAATGAACACAATAATTGCCTGTATAATCTAAAATGCTACTAATGGCAACGATCACAAATCCATTTAGCTCCTCTTTAATTTATGTACCAAGTTTTAAATAGCTAATGGTTCTCAGTAAAATAATGGTTTATACCAACAATAAAGGGTAAATACGGTGTTCTCCTGCTTAATCAAGAAAAGATCAGTCAGGTTTTTTTTTTTTTTTTTTTTTTTTCTTCCTTTAATGAACACATGGACGAGTGGGAATCGGACCTTATCTCTGTAGAACAGTACCATTCCCATCCATCTCAGGGTTAACAGTACCGGCATAGACTAAGTCCCTAGGAAATCAATGTTGCACAGCAAGCTGGAGAAAAGGCAGCAAGTTATAAATAAAGCCTTAGGTTCTGCACACTTTCAAAAGTCCCAGTGAAACACAGCTGGAAAGGAGCAGTAACTGCTGGTACCATCGCTCCAAGATTAGAAGAGTCAAACTATTATGGCACACTTACTAATCCACTAAGATTCACATGGACTCATTCTTTACATGGAATTATTTCAAAATCACAAAATTATAAAGAGTCCCTTTATAACCCTGAAGAAAACTATATATTCTAACTTGCCCCGTGTTTTCCCCATGAAAAAAAAAGTGCAATTTGAAAAAGAGAAAAGCCCCTGGTCAAATATCTAATTCACTTGAGACTTCATGAACACGAGTTTATCTTTAAGATGTTAGTGTCTTGTCTCCAGCTCTTTTTGGACTAACTATCTACTCTATATTCAGACTTAGCAGAAGATGGATGGAGAACTGCTTTGGACCCAACTGGATTCCTATAAAACAAATATTCCACTTCAGTATCTTTGAGAGAAATCAGACTGTACTACCTACCATGTTTAGCCCAATATTAAGGAAGCAAAAAGTATTTTTAAGATCTTCATTTGCATTCAAATAAATGAAAGTTGCCCATCACCTCTAATTCCTGAAGCTTATACCAATAACTTCCGATCGTGGGACTTCACTATTAACTATTAGCAG